GTGGGTCTCGGACGCTGGCTACCAGCTCAAGGGCGAAAACATTTCCATCTCCACGACCGTTCCGACGCTTGCCGCGTGCCAGGCGTCGTGTGCGAGCACACCGGGTTGCGCCGGCGTGTCCCACTCGACGTACTATAACACATGCAAGCTGCACAAGGCGGCCGACAACTACTACCCGGTGTGGATGAAGGCCGTGCCCCCCGGGGCTGTCGCCGGGGCCGTCGCTTCCATCCCGCACAACTACAAGGCGTGCTACGATCAGTACGACGTGCCGCACACTGGCGACGTCAACAACTTTTTGGGGTCGTTCCAAGACTGCGCCAAGTGCATGGCGAACGGCAACGCCGACGCGTTTGCGTGGTACCTCGGGCCGACCGGCGCTTATGTGCAGCCCATCAACGCCAAGGGCACATGCTACTGCAAGAAGCTCGGCGGCAGCGTGCCTTCGCCTCCGCCGGCGCCGCGTTCCATTGGCGGCACCATTCTCTGCATCAACTAAGTTCGTAGTTGTGTGCGTCGACTATCTTGCATATCATGCGTGGCAATCCTATGTATCTATTCTTCACACGTCGTGTTTTTTTCGATTCGAGCGGCCGTCTCTTCGTAGTCGTTTAGTTGGTGGTTGTCTAAGAGCCGCCAGCATGCATCATAGAAAAAGCAATTGCAAGAAGAGTAAATACTGGTAAATAGGTCGACACATATACTATGACGACTAGGGCTAGCGTATGAGGCGGTGCACCTGCTGCCGCACAAACGTCGCAAAGTCGACTTGGGGCTCGATGCCCTGCAGACTCTGGTACACACCGAGCATCGCGCCTGTCAAGAGAATCGTCGCAAGCGTCGTCACGCAGTTTTCGAGCGCGTTCTTGCAAATGCGAACGCTGTAGTGCAAGGCGCGCTGGCGCCAATTTCGCACGACGGGCGATGGCGTCGGCGCGCTGGCTACATACGCCCTTCGAAAGGACTGCGTGCGGATCAAGGACGACTGCCGCTGGACAAGTGTCGGTGATGACACCGAGCTGAGCACGTCGGCAGGCAAGTCAAACACCTCGGACGTGGTGACTTCGTGGATGATGATGGGCGATGGCCGCGAGAGAAGCGCGGCTGTCTCGTGCGTCGTCTTGCGCCACGGGCCCAGGTGATGCACGATGCGCGAGACAAGCGACAGGATCGCGACGACGAGGCTCAAGTTGCGCAGGTAGATGATGATGATCTGCGCACCGTGGATACGAGCCATGCTCCCGACCTCGTGGCAAATTCTAGAGTGACCTCGCGGCCAGATGCACCGGCTTCCATTTTCCAAGCGATTTCATTGGCGGAACGCAGCTGTTCCATGTGAGCGGCGCCACGATTGGTCCTTCCGAGATTCTATAAAGCTAGCCAATCAAAGAGCCAAATGAATGGAAACCAGCGCTGATTGGCCACAAATGGATCCTTCAGTAGCTCTCGGAGAAGGGGATGGCTGCGGAATGATTCTCATGCTCGACGGCTCGCCAGCTCGCCAACTCCAGCGCCACCAGCACTATCCAATAGATTGATCTCGCCCCATCTAGCGTCGTTGGATAATCCCATGGGTTAATCCGGCGACAAAATCCCTTCTACATCGCGTGCATACAGGGCTCAAGAGCGCAAGCATCGCTAGCTACTCGCTGGAAGCCGACGGCGGCAGAATAAAGACGCGATCTCATTCGATGAAATGATACCACGTCGGACTGTACTGGCTACTCATGCTGCAAAATGGCGGGCCAAGCACTCGACGAAACTATCACCCACGCTAGTACATTTCCCGCGCCGCGTTCTATGCGAGTACATATACAACTTGTTCCTGTCGAAATGGATGATGGGCATGCGTTTAATACCAGCAAGAAGATTTAGGACTTTTTGATGTGCTCGTGACGCGATGCTGTGATGTCATGGGAGGCGCGTTGGTGACCTCGGAACATGTGAGGAGCTGACGTCGCGCAAAGCGCTGAGCGTCGTGGCCAGTGATGGCACCACCTCTATCTAGAACAAGTGTCGACGTTGTCGACGTGGGGCAGGAGTGAGAGGCCTTGGCCGCAAGCGAATCGTCTAAAAACCAAGCCCGCGCTCCGTGGAAGACGCGGTCATTATTAATACTACTGTATTGGGTAAGTATAAGCAAGGCCTTGGTATAAGCCAGAAAGAGTGCCCGACTCTGACGCGCACAATCGACCCAAGGGCCGCGATTTACGGTTTGGGAACGGTGCGGTGACAGCGCTGTCGAGGAATCTGGTGAGCGTCCAAGGGAGCCACCTGTACAGTCAGTCGGTCTCGAGCATCGGCCCCAACGCGAGCCATAGCGCTGGAAGGTACGAGTACGAGTACGCAAGAAGATGTTGTTAGTCGAGTCATCATAGAGTAGAGCACTGTCCACTATATGGTGCTGTTCACCGAGCCTGCGACGAAAACGTTGGCGGGAAACGACAGCAACCGAATTCGGCGGGAACCACCCGGCGTATCCGGATACGGTTCACTTTGCCCTTTTGGATCAAGCAAGCATGCCCAGCACGCTCGGCCTCGTCTCGGTGGTCGTCCGCGACTACGACGAAGCGATCGAGTTCTACACGAAGAAGGCCGGCTTCCACTTGGTCTGCGACGAGCGCCAGTCGGACACGAAGCGCTGGGTCGTCGTCAACCCGACGAGCGCGACGGCGACGGCCGGCGGTCTCCTCCTCGCGCAGGCTGTTGGCGACGCGCAGCTTGCGACCATTGGCAACCAGAGCGGCGGCCGCGTCTGGCTCTTCCTCAACACGACCGACTTCCGTCCGACATACGAGCGCATGAAGGCCAACGGCGTCGTCTTCTGCGAAGAGCCGCGTCACGAGCTTTATGGCTGGGTTGTTGTCTGGCAGGACCTGTACGGCAACAAGTGGGACCTTCTCGAGAAGAAGGACGCCTGATGCACTACCAAGCAACAACGTATTCTACGATAAGACGATGCGGCTCTGCATAAGAAAATCTTGGAACTTAGCGGTGGCGCGACCGCTTACTTCGGTGGAGTGTAGGGTACTGTAGAACGAGTGGCGCGTCCTCGTCATCGCCCGGCCCAACGTAGTCGTCGTCATCACCCGAATCGACACCCAAGAGCCGTCGCTCGCTTTGGTTTGAAATGGTGTTGGCGGCGACCAGCACACGCTCGTAAGCGGACGGGTGCAGGTGCGCTTGCAATGCGTGACGCTGCCGCATCGCCCGCGGTAAGCTGCGGCACGACTCGACGCCCAAGTGCGTCAAGTTCCGACACATGCGCTCGATCGTTGTCACGGTCGTCTCGGAAATGTTGGTGTTCTACACGACCTACGTCAGTACTCGGACCACGGAGGCAGTGACGCGAGACCTTGAGATCGATTGCCCGCAAGGTGGGCCGAGGACCGGCGGCGATGAAGGCTCGAAGACCCTCATCCGAAAGATTCCGACAGTTCTAAGCCCGCCACATGTAAGAACTGGTACTCTATGAAGGAGGTGATCGTACCTGCAGAGAGAGGACACAGAGGACCGGGCAGTCCAAGCATCGCAAAAAGCCATCTTGAACTCGAATGCTGTCCAAGACAAGACCTTCGAGGCAGCTCAGCGCAATTGGCGCATTCTATAGGAGATGCGATCGAGTGAGTTTCTGATACACGGATGGCGAGTGCTCACGAGACTGATGCTCGGCCCCGTGCTCGAGTGCGAGAGGTCGAGCCATTTGAGCTGGTGGCCAAAGGCCGTAAGAAAGGCAGCAACGTCGGGTGCTGCAATGGCGCCACATTGACTAGATACGCATTCTCCTATATTCCTTATATGCGGCGATAATGATACTACCTGAAGATGAGTCGCTCCATCTTGGCGCATCCTTGGACGAGCGTGGTCAACATGCTCGAAGAGACGCCCGATCCGGCTGCGACACGACATATTGTGATGGTCAGATGATGATTATCCTGGAGGTACTACCTGTGATGGTTAAGCTCTTCAGCTCGGGGCATTTGCGCAGAAAGTTGGCCAGCGTCGTCGGCATGAGTCGCGTCGCCGTGTGCATCTGCAGCACGGCGAGCGCGACCGGCTCGGGCAGCTTTGGCAGCACCAAGCTGCGGCATTCCAGCAGTTCGAGCGTCTAGCATAGGCCATGAGCGCTTCTCGAAACAAAGACGTTGTACATGGAGCTGCCGGCAATGCGTGAGGATGGCCAAGACCGCTTTTGTGGACGTCGTGCGCAGGCGCAGCTCGCAGAGGCGGTCCAGGTGCCGGCCAATGTCCATGTGCCACTGCTGCTCGTGGGGAATCGTCGCCTGCAGCGTCATTTGCAGTACCGTAGTACCGCGCCACCTACACCGCTCGCGTCACGGGAAACCTCTCGAGCTGCAGCCCACCGCTGGAGAAGCGCCGCGTACTGCGCCGCCGAGAGCGGCCGGAGCACGTCCATGTCGAGCACGGTCGGCGGAAGCCACGTCGGGTCGGTGAGCAGGCGCCGCCAGCGCTTGCAGACGAGCTGCCACCGGACGAGGTCCGGCAGCGGGCGCACCATTGCGAGCACGAGCTTCTCGAGCTCTTCGCTCAAGACCGGTGGCATGCCGTTCCAAACTAGGCGCTGATTGGCCATTATAATCCATTTTCCCACAGATTGGCCAATCCCGTGCAGTCGCTGAAAGATCTTTCGTCGTTAACGCGTTAACGGGACTGTACGAAATCGAGAAAACAATACTATGACAATACATGCATGCCAACAACTTGTCATGTGCAACAAAGCTGTGCGACGAAGGATTTACTATCTTCTAGCTACTAGCTGGTGGACATTTAGGATACGAGCGGCGTCGTGCAGGAGGGACACGCGTTGTTTCGGCGGAGCCATTGACTGCCGCAAGTTGTGTGCACGAGATGCGCACACGGCAGCGTGAGCACGTCCTCCCCGACCTTGTACGACTCGAGGCAAATGCAGCATCTGAGTATCATGCTGTTAGACGCCCCGAGTGTTATCGCAAGGTGAACGTACTCGAAGCACTGCAGGTTGGAGGACTCGGGCACCGACTGAGATGGTAGCAGTGCAATGTACGCTGGGGCGACATGGCACCAATCGGCAATGAGATCTGCGCCGACTCCCTGCTGGACGCGCGCATGCATCTCGTCTTGCAGCGTTGTCCGCTACGAAATGGACGAGTCAGTTCAGATAGCGGAATAGGTCTGGAGAGCACGTGCCCATATCTCGTCCAGCGCCTCATCAGCGACGGGGGCGTCCATCGGAGCCGTTGTCATCGGTTCAGGCATGTTGCCTTCCGTTGACGCCGGCTCGCGGGCCTGAAGTAATGTAGGGTTGACATCTTGCATAGTGATTGGAATCACAGCTTGTGCTTGTGGAGCTGATAAAAAATGAGCGGGCGGGAGGAGCCGAGGGCGCTGCCCGGCTGGTGCTTCATCGCTAAAGCTCGGTCGTCGTCGTGTGATGCGTTGATACGTGGCGGTCCCGGCTACTGGGCTTGGGGCCACAGCAGGAAGAACGCGACTCGGCTACGAAATACCAAAGGGATTGAGATGACTGCGACAGCTAGAGGTCTGGACAACGTACTGCACTTGGGTCTTGCGACCAAGGTACGAGGACGCGCCAAGTGCGGATCGCTGGCTGCTGCTGGGTAGGAGCATCTGTCTTCTCTTCTTGCTCCGCTGTCGCGATTTGCGCCGAAAGCTGCTCGAAGCGGTCCTGCGGAAGACTGTGTGTCAACAGAAAGTTGCGCATAGGAATGTACCTTCCACGAGCGGCTCGTCGACGTTTCGTCGCGGAGCTGCCGTTCAAGGTCGGCGACGCGGTCCTTCTCATCTGCGAGTTGCTGACGCACGTCTTCGATCGAGGTCGTCATCGTCTCGACACTTGCGCGTTGCGTTTGAAGCTGCTTCTTGAGAGCGATCTTCTTGGCCTTGTGTTGCTTCTCGAGGGCTTGAACCTGCTTCTGCCACGTATCCTCGACCTCCTTTCGCTCGATCGCTGCTTGTGTCAACCTCTTCCGCGCATCCGTGAGCTCTTTCGTCATGTCCTCCATGGCTTCAAGTTCGTCTTCGAGCTCGGTTATCTCCTCCTTGTACGTCGCGTTCTCGAGCTGGAGGTCCGCGATGAGCCTGCGCTCCGCGGCCTCTCTCGACCCCTGCGTCTTCGCGCGGGTTGCGACAGCGGGGGTTGATATTGTCCGGTCGCGGGCGCTTGTCGCGCTTGGCACCATTGCGCTGCCTCGGGTCGTGGGCATGAGGAGGTCTGGGTGCTTGCTCGCCTGCTGGTCGATTGGAAAATGAAGTTTATCCGGCTTTTTGCGGTGGTTATCCGGATGTGTATCTTTTGACGTGGCAGTCCCACATCGCTTTCTCGGAAGCCATACTTCGGATTCTACAATTGTACGGCTCTTGATGCGGTACTTCGCAAGTGATCCTACCGAGGAAGCCGGTACATTGCATGCCCATCAGTGCCCACCAGCAATACCTCAAGCCCAAAGAGCACTCTCAACTATGAAAATTTGGTGAATTTGAGGCCATCAACTCGAAGTACAATGACGAGCGCTGTGGAGAGACAGTGGTGCTATTAGGACTCGATTGGTGTCGTACAGACCGGGCACGCGTTGTATGTGTGCAGCCATTCTTTGCCACAGTCCTTGTTCATCGTACGGGTCGTGGCATATGCTGCACCTGCGTTCATCGATGTAGCCAGACTATGGACACAGTATACACGTACTCAAAAGCGGACTCTGCTCCGCCCCACGAGTATCGTCTTCTCATTGGTGCGACGTCAAGCTGCGGGTATTTCCAAATATGTAGAGACTCATGAATGAGGGTAGTCATTCAGTGCGTAATTTTGCATTGGGGATGGATCTCTCCGTGCGTAGCTCACTCCGAACGATCAAGTGCTGGTGCCAACTCCCACGCATTCAGGCGTAGCACTACGTATGCGAACTCTTTGTATGGAAGATAACGCGGAACACGTTGATATAAGATTTTGCATTGGGTCGCAGGACGGAGGAAGCACATGGGACGGTTGCGTCACCCGTAGGTGACTGCGATCGACACGACGCAACGCATCCATCTACTAGTACTCTACTAGTAGAGTCGACAAGGCAAGAATACTAGTGTATTTACCCACTTTAGTGCATCTTGCTACAGATGAGTCGTCGCAACAATTGCTCAACGAGTCAAGCAAGGAACACTGTACACCTGCACTGTACCTTGTATTCCCCGCGACCACGTATACGTTGCGTCACAGCGAAATCTATCCAGTAGGTGAAAACCTACCAAGTATGTAGTAGCTCGCTCGCGACAAGATCTTTTCAAGTGGCAGCGGCGCGATGGCAACAAGTGCGGGATCGGGTGGCTGGTTTTGGCGCGAAATTCAAATTCAATCACAGTAAAACGCTGTTCTCACAATTGAATTTCATCCAATGAAATAGTGTAAAATTATAGCCAATCACAACGCGTAGAAGCAAGCCAGTACCAACAGTAATACATTCGTTCAACTGACGCGTGACCGGTCATTTAGTGTGTTGGCCATGATGCAGAGCACGAAGCCGGAAGTAGGCCCGCACGAAGCGCTGCTCCTCGACGACCAGCCGCCCCACCACCTGCCCGTGATGGAGAAGAAGACCCGCAAGCGCAACGTCCAGCACGTGGCGACGCATGAAGACAAGCTCCGCGTCATGAAGTGGATGGTGGCGGAAGAACAGAAGCTGGCAGAGGAGCTCGAGGCGAAGCGGTCGGCGGTCGATGGCGTCAAGATGAAGCCCGAGAAGCACTGCCTCGCGTCGCGCGCGATCCTCGAGTTCCCCGAGCTCTTCTGCGCGGCGTCGACGCAGGCCAACTACATGAAGGCGACGCGCTGGTGGAAGGAGAGCAAGGTGTACATCGAGACGACCGAGCACATGCCGCACTCGAAGAAGGCCCGCGCGGGCCGTGGCCGCCGCGCGCTGCCATGGACCGCGTGGCTCTACGAAGAGCTCAAGCACGCGATGGACAACCACGTCGAGACGGCGACGTGGGGCAACCGCGACCTCCTCGGCATGGCCAAGGCGCTCGTCGAGGCCTCGACGCACCCGACGTACAACAAGGACTATATCATTCCGGAGCGCAATACACGCATCGTGGACAACCTGAATCTGCGCTGGATCCAGAGCTTCAAGGACAAGTTCAACATTAAGAACACGATGAAGAAGGAGCTGAGCCACACGAGCGAGCTCTCGCTGTGCCAATGGGTCGCTGTCTCGACGGCCGCCAACAAGGGTCAGCCGATCCCGAAGAAGGATATCATTGAGCAAGCGTCGCACCTCTTTCTCCAAGAGTATGACAGTCTCCCGGCCAAGCTCGAGTCGTCGTGGTACAAGATGTTTTGCCTCCGCCACCCCGAGCTCAACCTCGTCGGTACGTTCGTCTCGTCCAGCATCAGCGATCAGCATATGCACGCTCCTAGTCGAGCCGTCGACACCCGTGCCGTCGAGCCACGTCGCGGCCATGGCGTCGGTGCTGCCAACGTCCATGCCCATGATGCCGACAGTACATTGACCTTGCCTTCTCTCTGTAATCGCCCTCACGCCATCTTGTAGCCAATGCAGCCCGTGGGGGTCATGTTTGATGCGATCGCAGAAGGCCAGTTTAAGATTGTCAAGTCGCTTCTGCAGCAAGGCTTGAGCCCCGAGTCGAGCGATGATATCGGATGCACAGCGCTCTTGGCCGCGACCAAGTCTGGTCAGTTCAACGTTGTCAAGTTCCTCCTCGAATTTGGCGCCCGCACCGAAGCGACCGACGAGGTACATACAGTCTATCCAGTTCAAAAAGTATCAAGTTGAAACCATTCCAATAGTGTGGCCGTACGTCGCTCGTGCTGGCCACCTTTCTCGGCCACTTTCACATTGTCAAGGCGCTCCTCGAGCACCAAGCCCACGTCGAAGCCACCGACGACGTACGCGATCACCCGCATTTTAACCCTTGCGTGATGCGCCGCTGGTCTGCGTAGAACTCCCGCACCGCGCTCTCGATTGCGGCCGAGCGCGGTGACCTCAAGCTTGTCAAGCTGCTCTTGCGCATGGGCGCCAACCTTGAGGCCCGCGACGAGGTGCGTGGCCAGTTTGCAATGGAAGTAATGTGATTGGGATTTTGTGTAGGATGACAATACGCCGCTCATGATTGCCGTCAAGCACAACCACATGGAAGTCGTCGTCTTCTTGATCAAGAAGGGCGCCAACATCCGCGTGCAGGACGTGGACGGCAGCACGCTCCTGGAGCTCGCCAAGCACTCGCGGGAGCTGAGTCAGCTCTTCCTCGAGAAGATTTCGGCCGAGACCATGTGCTAGCTGCGCTTTTCGAGTTGTAGGTAGCCCGCTAACCGAATCCAGGGACTGTGAAGTATACTATTGGATTGATGCTCGTTACGTTGTGTTGAACTCGTCTTGCAGCTTCTTCCAAAAGAGGCTCCAAAAGGTCGCATCCGAGTTGAAGTTGTTGGCCGAGTTCCACAAGACACCGCAGATCGACCAGAGCGCAATGGTCACAAGACCCTCCGAGACCGTTGTCCACGCCTTCTCGGCAAGCCATGTCGCCGCTGGCCCCATCATGTCGCTCCAAGGATGCGCCTCGTTCGCCTCGTCCTTGGCATAGCGCTCGGTGGTGCTCCGATCGTGGTTGACGACGTGCTGCGCTTGATGCGCGTTGTCGTCGGCGGCGTGGCAGTCGGCACAGCCACGGGGCTCGACGGCTCGGCCGGTGGCGCGGCAATCGCGTCGAGGACGTTGCGATCGTTCTTGAGGAACATTTGGATGTGCTTCTCGTTCTCCTCTGGTGGGCATACGATCGTCGCCATGCGCTTGGAGCACGTGCGCACCATGCGCCCGTTCTCGACCTTCTCTTCGACAATCGTCTCTTCGAGCGTCACGTCCCGCGCCTTCTTGGAGCCCTCGCGCTTCACAAAGCAAAGAGCGTCGCTGTCGTCTTGGTGAGTGGCAGGTGCTGGTGTCGCTGCTGGCATGCTTCTCGCCGCAGTCGCCCTGGCGCGGAGCCAGCCCGCAGCGGCCATGCCGAGCGCAATGAGCTTCACAGCGAGCTCGGGCGTCGAGCGGCTCGTGGCGGCGACGTACGCGGTGGCGAGGACCATGGAGCCGACGAGCGTCGGCGAGGCAGCTTGCATCCTGCTTGCTGTCGGGATACCAGAAAATGGCCGATCTTTCGAGCCGAATAAAATCCAAAACCGCTCTTAAATTATTTTGTAACGATTGAATTGCCCCGTCGCTTGCTACATCCACCAAGGTATGTCCTCGCGAGTGCTAATATTAATATACTCCAACAAGGAAAATGCAATAAGAATCAGATCCATTGGACCTTTGTATGCGGCGCGGCAAGCCGGCGATCTTCGAGCAGCAACCGCCACGAGGCCGAGGAAACCCCACAGCGGTATCAATGTATCGACAATCGCCACTCGGGTAGCTTGATACTGGCTTGCATCGTGACTTGGCGGCATACTACAGGCGCCAGAGATCGGGTGCGATCGGTGCGCAAGACTTTCTTCTCGAGATAGACACAAATATCGACACCGAGGTGCTGCACAAGGTCGTTACCCGTTGACATCCATCATGTGTGCATGTTCTTTCAAGCCAAGGCCGTAAAATGTATATCCGTGGTCCAACCAACGCTCCCTGCCTCCCACTAACCCTAACCTTAGGTGAGGTTCCGCAAAGCGCGTCTTTGCTCTAAATAGTAAAGCAGCACTCGTTGCATCTATTATGGCCCGCACGAGGAAGTATGGACCACTCGCTGGTTCTTCGTTGCTTAGACGTACTTGGTGTACCAGCGCGTGTAGACCATGGCGGCGAGAGCGCTCGCAATTATCGAGCAGCCGACCAAGAGACCAAGCTCCACGTCGCTGCGCTCGAGCAGTAGCACGACGAGACTGCATGCAGCCTTGAGCGTCAATTGCACGCCGTTGATGGCGCCGCGCCGCGTCGATGCGACCCACTCTTGCATGATCTGCAATAAGGCGAGGTCGACACACACACGCGCGGATTGCGAGAGTGCGATCGTCGCCAGCAGCCACACGCTGCGCGTTTGGAGCGTCTCGACGCTAGCGAGGCCAATGGGCAAGAGCGAGGCGAGGTACCACCACATGGAGGCCAGTCCGAGCTTCTCAACCGGGTGGACGCAGGCGAGGAGCCAGGGAAAGAGTAGCGTGCCAATCATGCCCATGGCCACGCCGCCCACGTCCCCTACGCCGAGTCATGTTGTGCTATGCCATGACAATACGGATACGTCTACCTGCGTCCCAGCTCGGTGAGAGGTGCCGGGTGAGCCACGGGCGCGGATGTCCGTCCCGGAGCACCGTGGTCGCAAGAAGGCCCATTGCGATGCCCGCGCGGCAGACAGGGTGCTGCATGTAATCGCGCCAAAGAGACATGTACCGCGACCCACTCACCTCGGCCGCCGTACTGAGCGTCTTGTGGCCGAGCGACGGCGCAAAGCGGTAGAGGTCCCGGAGTGTCGCCCACTGCAGCGGCATCAGCATGCCTTGCCACACCAGAAAGAGACCGAGCGAGGTTCGCCACGGCGCCGAGCCGTCGTCGACTGGAATCCGCATGACCATCAGGATCACGAGCGGCGCGATGAGCCGCGCGGCGAGGTCGACCTGCTTGAGCGCAACGTTCCAGCTTCCGAGCGGCGTGCGGGACAAAAGAGCAAGCTCGACGACCCAGTCCCGCTGCAGGGCCAGTGCGTGCAGCGTCCGCACGCAGTGTGCCATGGCAGCCAAGACGTAGGCCACGAAGAGCATCGCTAATCGCGCCGGGTGGTCGGCGCGAGTGCAGTTTACGCCGAGCAAGCTCACGGCGCTGAGCGAAATCGCCATGGGCCATGCCAACGTCGTGGTGCGAAGCAGTTGCCAGCGGTCGGTCGCGTCGACATACTGCGAGAGAAGCGGGAGCACAAAGAGGCTGATGCTGACGATTGTTAACGGCAGCAGAGTCGGCGATCCGTGCACACCAAGCTGCGCCAGCAGCATGGGAACGAGAGCCTCCCACACAGAGTTGTTCTACACAAATCGGTGCATTCCGAGACGATAGACAGCGCGTCGACGTACGTAGCTCGACACAAAGTGGGCGACGTACACATAGACGCTCAAGCGCGTCGCGACGACTTCGCCTTGGCGGTAGACCGTGTACCGTCGCTTTGAACGCCTACAAGTAAATGAGTGCTGGATGCACCGCGAAAGCGTCCAACAGGAGGGCGATGGTTTCTTGCTTGGTTTTGGAGGCGTCGCGGACGATCGCAAGAACGCACGCGAGCACAGGAAGCAGCGAGCCGTACCCGACCAGCGTCAAGAGAGGGCCAAGGCCGCGCCGGACAGGCGGACAGTACGGTGTGTCGGTGACGTGGCTGCCGCACACTAGCGATGCGATCGATCCAATGGCAATCGTAGTACGTGCTACGTACTCGTGCCGAGCGTGCCAAGGCCCAAGCTGCAGGCGCCGACGACGGCGCAAGCGACCGCCGTGGTATCCAGCAACATCAATCAATCGGGTCTGTCCACAAATCCGTTCGAATTCGAAGATTTTTCAGTGGAAATTACCCAAACAGATCGTCGCAATCGCCAAAATCAAAATTATACGTGGGTCACACGACACTTTGTACTAAACTTCAGCGACGGTCTGCGACGGGTGGGCCACCATGTGCACGATTTCAAGGGACGAGCCCGCGTTCGCGAGGCCGATCGCCGTCATCCCATCCTACGCCATGTGCTGGTTGATACGTTGATACAACGTGTGCGCAGTCGTACAATGTTGCGGACATTGGTGCTGGCGCCTTTTTTGATCAGAAAATCAATCACATCGCGCTTCTGGGACTGGATCGCGAGCAAGAGCGCGGTGTTGTCGTCCTATGCGCGGGAGAAAGGATGTCTGATGCAGGTATTTACGAGGCATGGAGTACGTCGTCGCTGGCTTCGAGGTTGGCGCGACGCTTGACGAGGAATTTGACCATTTTCAAATTGCCTTGTTGCGACGCAAACAGCAGTGGCGTGCGCGAGTGCTACGCACGTGTGCTCGTAAGTGCGATGATTTGTCAATGAAACCTCGTCGGTGGCTTCAATGTTGGCCTTGTGGTCGAGAAGACACTTGGCGATGTGGAGTTGATCCATCTGGACGGCAATCCAGAGCGACGTCAGACCTTGCTACGCGCACAGTATTTCGCTGAGCGAGACGATTCGACGAAAGCGCATCAACCCAGTTCATGGCTTCCGTGTTGGCGCCAAAATCGAGGAGGCAGTTGACCACGTTGAGGTGCTTGGTGGCCGTTGCGACAATGAGTGCCGTGCAGCCAAACTAGCCAGGTGTGCGATCCTCTTGGTACACTACTGGTACAATACATACCGCGTCAATCGCTTCGAGGTCGACCTTGGTGTTGTGCAGAAGCGTGCGCAGCGCCGAGATGTCGCCGTGCTGCACGGCTTCCATGAGCAGCTGCGCAACCTAATACGGTGCCTGCTGCTGCTTCTGTCGGCAAGGACAGCCAGTAGATACCTGTTTGTTTTTGCCCACGAGCAGCTGGATATCAGGGTACTATCGTCGCCACGACTAAGCAGACGTCGACCATCATGTCGGTACCTGGAGCTGGGGCATCATCTGCAGCATCGGTGGTGCGTCGAGGATCGCGCTGCCGTCGTCCTTGGCGTACGCGTTCGCTGTCTTGAGCACTTCTTTGGCGCGCGTTGCGTTGTGGGCGCTGACGGGCACGCCATGCTTTTGCTGGAAGAGCGTCTGGATCGCCTTGACCGAGAGCTTGCGGTGGTCGAGAGTATTCTCATCCAGGAGCGTCTTGACGACCTAATTGGACGGTAACACGCCACACTCTCTATGCGAGTGCCTACGAGCTCGACGATGTTCTCCCGGCGCGGCTTCTTCGTCGCGGTCGGCAGCAAGATCGAGTGCTCGCGCGGGTTGTACGTGAGCAGCGAGAGCTGGCGCTCGCTGGCCTTGCGCGTCGACGTGCAGCTCTCGCTGTGGACGTCGTGGATGGTCGAAAAGTAAAAGTACTCGTCCTCGTTCTTGCGCTTGCACTTGGTCGCAATGACGCGCCAGTCGCAGCTCGCGCACGTGCACACAAAGGTCTTGGAGTTGCCGCTCTTCTTGCCCGCGCGGAGCCGCATGCTCTTGTTCATGTTGTACGTGTAGTCCTGCATAAAGTACTTGGCGTCGCGCCCGGACGTGAAGGTGAGGTCCGCGCTCAGCACGTCCTCGCCGTGGATCGCCTTGAGGTCCAGGAGCGTCGCCTCCGCCATGGCTGGTCTGGAAATACGCACCTAATCGAGCGAAGGTGCACCCACAACTGGCTTTTCGGCCCTTTCGCCTCTTGCACTTTGTATGCGCAGTGATTGGTGCAAAAGCCAGAATACGCGATTTGCTGGCGCGCCCACAACGAAGCGATGCCAAGCAAGATCAAGCACGCGGCAAGCTGGTGTACGTTCATGCATGCATGTGTAGGCCAGCAAAAGGCTAGGAAGACAATCGATACGTTAGGTACGCCACCGTGAGAACAAAGCAACTAGGGACTGGCAGAGGACGACGATGGCGCGCGGCTGTACGACTCGAGGGTGCCCACGACCTGCGAGAAACCGAGGGCCGTCCACGTAGCCTCAGCAGGTGCGTCGCAGCCCGTTGTGACCATTGTCGTGTACGTCTTTTCCATGGCGTCGCGGATGGCCAGCGAGAGGAGGTGCCGCGTGAGGCCGCGACGGCGGTGGGTGGCCAGAACACCTGCGCCTTGAAGGTACGCCACGCCGCGCGTGTAGCGCAGTGTCATGTACCCAATGACATCGCTGTCGTCGTAAGCGAGCCAGTGCACGTCGCGCGGAAACATGTGCGCCAAGGCCACGCGGAGCCGGTCGACGTAGCCTGTCGGCGGATACCCAAAGAGGATCGCTTCGACGCGAACGCGGTCGGTCCACATCGCACTACCATCGTCCAGCGTCGACACGCGGCACACGCGTAGGCCATGAGGGCATGGCGACTCTTGTCTTACGTCTCGTAGAGGAGCCATGGCGCGGATGGTTTGACCCGGCGAGCGCACAAACCCCAAGGCCTCGAGCCCAGAGTCCGCTGGCAGCGGCGTCGGAAACATGGTCACGATCATCGGCGTCTCGGACGCATCGAGGGACGCAAGCAGACAACGCATGCTCTCCGCGACGTCGTCGCTCTTGTGGTCGAGGAGCATCATGCAGGCGGGCTTGGCCAGCTGGTAAAAGGAGTGCGACGTCGTGGGCTCCACGTCCTGCGCAATCGCCATCGAGATGGCTTCGTCCCACAGCATGGCCTGCGCACTCGCTTCGTACAGCGCTTCGGGCGTCATCAAGGATTGCATTTGGTCGAGTGGTAATGCGAAGCGTCCACATTAGATGCGAAGAGTGTTGGGCCGTGTTTGAAGTGCACGACACTCTGGCTCCATTCCCCAATGGCGGGAGTTTTCAAAGAACGCGCCATTGGCGATCGCTGACGTCGATCGAGTCAATCTTAAGAACGCTGCCTCGGTCGATAAAATACATCTTTTGTCGACCTGCGTCAAGGTGCCGAGAATCTAGTTCCTTGGCTACTCGGTGCCAGTAGTATCGGCTTCTGAGCTCGAATCTGGCCTCGTCAGCGTGACCTCTGATTTGCATGCTGCGAGCTCATGCTGCGTCCTCGCTTCGATGAACTACTACTGCAAGCCATGTCAACTTTGGTACCCACGATTCCTAGACCAGAGCAGAGACCAGAGTAGCTTTCTCAAAATCGACAAGTTCGGAACCACGTAATCACCCATTCAAAGGTGACGGTGCACGGCTCGACTGGCGGTGGCGAGCGCATCCTACAGCGACAAGGCTCGTCGACGCAGACGAGGCAGCTGCGCGGGTCTCAGAGATCTCAAAGAGCGTTCTCGGCAGCCAGGCGATCGTCTCTTTACACGTCGTGCCATCCTTGCGATCCATCCAAAATTTAGGCACCACTACAGTGTAGAGGCGGCCTGTCCCTTGATTCGCTTAGAAAAGTTTAACTATCGCCAATGTGCCCGCGTAACATGAAAAAAGCGCTGGGAAAAAGTACTCATGTAGCGCAATTCGTTGGAATCCAAGGAGCGACGACACAACACAACCCGGCAGTATTTATTTTCTCGGTCTACTAGTACACTACTGTATTGTATTGAAATGCCAACAGTGGTATTGTATTGTAGCAATGTATAGCCACCACCCTGCCGACGCCGGAAGAGCGCAATGATATGCCAATGCGGGCAGGCGGTCTGGTGCTGCCCAGTAGCTGATAGTCCATGGCCGAGTCGACGCCTCTGCTGCCGCCACGCGTCGTGCGCGTGCCACTGACGCCGCCCAGGCACGAGCACCGCATCCGCATCTTGATGTCGCCACCCCGGCACATTGAGCACCATGACAGCACCGACAGCACAGGCAGCGGCGAGAGCAGCGGCGAGCACCCGCACCTGCTGCGGACGCCGTCACGCTCCAAGCAGCGCTGGGTCCACGCCGTGCGCAAGGTGCAACAGGCGTCGCCATCACACCGGTGGCTGGACGCGATCCAGCGGCTCAAAGGCAAGCGAACGGGGTTCGTCGCCCGGCCAGCCGCGCAGTCGCGCAAGGATCTTCTTGCCTTCTCGCTGGTACGCGACGCCTCTATACCGCCTTTGCGTATGCAGCTTGAGTAGGACGACATTGATGCGTTCTTGGGTCGAACCAAGCCACCGGCCATCGAGTACCTCGTCGTCGAAGTCCTCGTCCATAAGAACCCGTTGCACCCGTCGCACCTCGGACGCTGGGCACACTCGGCCGTCCGGTACGCATGTCTGCTTCGAATCGAATCATCATGATTGTCAACGATCTCGTAGCTATACGCTCCCGGACGGCGCGCAAAAGCTCGTCAACATTTGCAGGTGTGACGTCGTGTCGTGTGAGGCGACCTAACACCCTTTGTTAGACCCGGGGATGGCCGCGAGCTCATCGAGTTCTTTGACGACCCGGAGGACTACATCCTCGGCGTCAAAGGCAAGGTAGCATATTTCTATGTCGTGTCGAGATGGGTGCGCATCGATCGTACTGTAGGGCGGGATTTTCGCCCGGGACATTTGCTCGGTGCGTATCGAAGACGTCAACCCAGCGTCGATGATGGCGCTGCATCACCACTTTCTCGCGACCTCGCACCGCTTCCGTGCCGATGGGAAAGGCGTCAAGTTTGAGATCACGGGCGGCTTCTGGCACAACCTCTTCCGCGAAGTGTTTCATCTGCCGTCCCGACCCAGCGGCAACTGCGCGCGCTGGGTCTCGAAAGGCCTCGTGTACGCCAACGTCCTTCGCCGCCAGAGCATGTTTCCCAAGGCGATTTGGGTCGAAATGATCGAGAGCCAGGTAGACGCCTGTCGTTCTTGACGCGTCCGTATCCGGTGGATCGAGTAGGCGGCCACCAACCCGGACAATGTCCACGTCGTCTACTACAAGCGTATCCACGCCAAGCAAAAGGAAAAGCCGCACCTCAAGACAGGTAGGCGTCGTGGAAATGGATCGTATGGACCGTATGGATGGATCGATGGTGTAGGCTTTAGCTTTACGAGCATCAAAGCAATCCTCTTCTTTCCGTCCGACGTCATCCAGAGCTGGCTGTACTGGGACATGCGCCAATACGCCAACGTCATTGTCGACAACGATCCGAAGTTGACGCTGGACGAGCAGTCGAAGCGGCTCAAGTGCGAGCTCCAGCCTGGTCGCGGCCGCCGAGTCCACCACTGGGTCGTGTACTTTATTCGGTTCCTGCACCTCGTCATCGTCGTGGGTGCGTCGTTGACGTACGTCTTGTACTGCCCCGGCGGCAACCAGACAAAGCACCTCGGGCCCAACTTTACCTACAATGTCTGTCCCTCGAGTTGGCCCGTCACGGCCGGCTACCGCATCGTCATCGTCGTCATTATCGTGAGTATCGTCGAGTTTTGGTTTTATTAAGAAGCGACAACACGTATCGCTGACTGCTTGTCTCTTGGACGACGACATATATGCAGGATGCATGGAGCACAGGAAGAAGAGGCCGGCGACGCGTTCTTCTAGCGGCGGCAGGTCATATCGGTCACTTGCTTCTTGAAGTAGTAAAGGAATCCAACGGCCAGATACGTCATGGCGGTGCTCACACCCATCCAAAAGTTTCGTTGGACGACCCATTTGAAGGCCTGCGTCGCGTCGTCGTCGAGAACGATGCAGACCCCGACGGAGGCTTGTTCTAGCGCCGCATGCATGAGCAGTCATGGACGACAGCGACGGGACGTACTAACGAGAATGATGATACCAAAGCAGAGGAGCCAGGCCATAAGGGAGAGACCGGCAAACTCAAAGGCAAAGAGGAGGACCTCGATGAAGGCGTTGATCCGCACCGCGAGGAAGCATGGCGCCGGAAGCATGAGGAGAATGAACCTAGCACCATGAGCCTTCTCGTCGGTCGAAGGACGCGGCTACGGACAAGAGAAGTCCGAGCGGGAAGAGGCCGTGGCCGACGAAGGTCGAGAGCATGCTGGGTCAGTTGCTCGGTCGGGTGTGCAGGACGGAGTAAATTTGGAACTGACGCTGTTTTTCACCGCAGAATCCGTGTGTAAAAAAGTAAGCTGATGTGTGAAATGCAATGCACTTGGTTTGTATCGATAATTCACGGTTGGGAAGTGAAAAACGTGGTAAATGCGAAACCTCCACTGGCGGTTACACATATTTATATTGGCGAGCGACCAGGGCGCTTGTCAATACATATTAAGCAAAATCAACAGCAAAACCAAACTAAAAGTTGTACACTATTATAGCTTTCGCCCCAGGGGCTTGTCGCTTGGATATACCTGCCCTACAAGCTGCTACCAAGTATGAGAACCACGATCCTCCAGCTGACCAAGAGATGGTTATAGACCTCTGGGAAAGGGGTTTTCGGATCGTACTCGGATGTCTGGATAATATACTCTTCCTTCCAGTCTCGTGCCTCGCATACCACTCAGCAAGCTGCAACCAAGGCCCAAATCTATGGTACGTGGCTCTGCTGCTCGTCGTCGCGATGCAAGCGCCGTTCGAATCCATCTGCAAAAACTTCAGCATGGGATTCTCCTCAACGAGAGATATGAGAATGCTTGCCAGCATTCGGCATGGATGCCTCGAGCAAGATTATTTGTGGCATGGCACCCTATATACTGGGTAGAAAGCAGAGACAGCTACCACGTCGACGCGATCGTAGTCTAGCTCCATGATGAGCGGTGCACTTGGTTATGAGAGGAGTTAGAAATGGAAGGTCCTGCCGAGAATCGAGCCCTGCTCTCGTATCAATCGGAGCCATCGTTCACTTACACTGTACACTGTAGCTGGTCCAAGCCGCTTCGATTCCGACGTCGCGACTGGGTGGTTTCGACAGTAGCAAATATTACCTTTAGTGGGCCCAAAGCAAATGCCTCGAGGTCCCCGCTGGCCCCCCCACGAGCACGTCGCTGGGCCTGTCGATGATGCATGCGAAGGGTCGTTCGTAAAGTATGTATGAGTTGTCGTTGTACCGGTATCCGATACTCGGATCCGATCGCAGGAGCTCCCACGCCAGCAACTCAACACGACTGCTCGATCGCACTTGATATCGCACTTGCAGTGTATGTTCCATGGGCTACGGCACGTCGCTCGGTTCTGTACCGCAAGATATCCAAATGTGACCCTTTGGTGCCACGTCTGAAGAATCAACGCGTCATTTTGTTTGGTTGTCGTCGCTCAACCACTGGATGACCTGCTGATCGTCTTCGATTCGGAAGCAGAAAGCCATGGCATGCAAGCCATCAAACATCGAACGTCGTCGGTTGTCGTCGTTCGCCCAACGCGGTTTTCGAAGAAAGGCGCATGCGTTGGAGCGTGGCACAGCTGCTGCGGCCTTGACACTTGGTTGTTGTTGATCGTCGCTCACTTTTCAATCTTGTCGCTCTCGTGTACTAGAGCAATGCCGACCACGCGCGAGTCGCCGGCCTTGCGCGCCCTGAGCGTCGCGGGCATCGTCCGCAGCATCGCGTCGTTCCAAGACGGTATCCTCGAAGACCTCCGTCCGTTCCTCGGCTTTGACTACAAGGCGTGGGTCAACACACCGTTCGACAAGCGCCTCCAGGTGCAGCTCGAGCCCTTCCATGCACTCCTTCTGCCGTGGCTCGCCGACCATTCGATCGACCGGCTCGCACAGCTCTTTGAAGCCTTGCCCGACGTCGCGCCGCTTGTGACCGAGACCGCCATCTACTACGGCCACGACGACCTCGTCGCCCACCTCTCAGCGCACTGGCGGCACAAGGCGACGTCGCTCCGGTCCATGGACTTGGCGGCGTGGCGGGGCACTTTCCGATCCTAAAGCGTCTCCATGAAGAAGACTTTGGCGGCTGCTCGCACCTCGCGATGGACTGGGGCGCGCGCGGTGGTCACTTGGACATTGTCCAGTTTCTCCACGAGCAGCGCCGAGAAGGTTGCACGACGGAAGCCATGAACTGGGCGGCGAACCTCGGGCACTTGGCGATCGTCCAATTCCTGCATTTCAAGCGCACGGAAGGCTGCACGAAAGAGGCGCTCAACTGGTCGGCGGGCAACGGCCACCTCGACGTCGTTCAGTTTCTGCACACGCACCGCAACGAAGGCATGACCGAGTACGGCATGAACATGGCGGGCTACAACGGCCACGTTGCGACCATCGAGTTCCTCCACAACCACCGCACCGAAGGCTGCACCGAGTGGGCGATGACGTGGGCAGCGTCCCAAGGCCACATGGACATTGTCCAGTACCTTCATGCCCATCGAACCGAGGGCTGCTGCGCCCACACTCTGACCTGGGCAGCGTCCCGCGGCGACTTTGCGATGGCCGAGTTCCTCCTCCAGCACGGCTACTGCGACAACAAGATCGAAGCCATGCGACACGCCGCCCGCGTCGGCCAGTTTGACATGTGCGTCTTCCTCTATGAAGACGGCATGGACGTCCAGATCCCGCTCGTCTCGGCGGCCATGCACGGCATGCTCGACATTGTCAAATTCTTGGTGCCCCGGGTCACCCGACACGACGGCTGGGCCGAAGTGCGCAAGGCTGCGGTGGACGCGGGCCACGCGAGCGTCACAGCCTACTTGGACGACGTCCTCGAGCCTTAATTTAATCGCCTCCCTAATCTAATTCGACAATATTTGGTGCCCGTAGAAGAAGAGCTAGCTGCATGATGATCGGTTGTCTTCAAGGTTTGGTTCGGATGCGTTGTCGCGATGTTGAGTTGTCGTTTTGGTCTCTGCAATCTGTAGTACGCCACCGAACCGTCCCAGCCAGAAACGTGGCATGTTCTGGGAGCAGCGCAGTAGACACTGTACTCAACTCTGTTTCGATGCCTCCAAACACTGTTTCACAAGACCACGTGTCGCTTAGCACCGACACGAGCGCCAGTCGACATCGAGAAATTGCCGGCCTAGTCAAGAGCCGTTGAAGTGTCTTTGGGACAAGTTGAGACTCTACGGATACTTGAATAGACAGATATATATATATATAGATAGATGGATAGATAGATAGATAGATCGCATTCACACAATACGATTGATGGTCGATTTGATGCGCAAGTGGTCGTTGGTGCAATGGACTAGCCAAGCATGATGCGACACGCCTCTCCTGCGTCTGAGAGTATTACACCTCGGAACCTGGTTGAAAAGGCTAGCGAAGGCGCGATAGAAAGTCTGTTTGAAATCGGACTCTTAGTCGGTTTTCTCCTTCTGACGCACGAGACGCTTGACGAGCCGCTTGAGGCCGTGGACGAGCTTGCCGAGGTTGCTGCGCTTTCGCTCGTGCCGCAGCAGCGTATTCACAAACGATCCCATCGCCATGCTCACGACCGTCGACGTGAGGCAGATCACGTTGTACGGCATGCTAAAGTCGGGCACGGGCAGTTGCACGAGCAGCGGCTCCGTGTACAATATCGTCGCGTGACGGCCGCGCGTCACGTGCACACTGGCAGCCGGCGCGTCAAACCCGCGGCTGGCGTCCGGTGGGTGCGACTCGATGGGCAGAAAGCTCTTTTCAAACGCGTACGCAAGCTCCAACCGACTCTGCGGCGGCAGCGTGAGCACGACGCGGAGGTGGGTGAGTGCGCCAAGCGTCGTCGCCGGTGTCATCACCACGGACGACGCGTTTCCATCGAGTCGCTTGCCGTTGATCGCGACGCGAAGCGAACTAAAGTACACGCGCATAAAGGACGGGATGGTCTCGTTGTACGCGATCTGCAGCGGTGCTTTCGGGTCCTTGTTGAGGACGCGCATCGCGACGCCGCCACGGACTTGGCCAAATCCTGTGAGGTATCGGTGCACGGACGCAGAGTGCCAGAACGACTTGGGCGCGGGTGGCGGCGGCGTCGCGAGCCACGGCTCGTGCACCGAGCGGAGGCCGGCGAGCGGCAATATGTGCTTGTAGATGTTGCGGTGACGATCGATGGCCACGGCCGGCATCGTGACGAACGCAGGCTTTTCGGACGCGAGCTCGGTCGTGATCAACGACTCGGTCGCCAAGAGACACACGGACGCCGTCGTGGCACCGAGCGCCGACGCGAGCGACCAGCCGTCGTCGACGCGCTTGACGAACGTGAGCGTCTGGTGCATCGAGAGCTTGGTTGCTTGCCGAGAGACTCGAAGGCGCATCGAGACGTAGTCGCTATCGAGGACGTGGAGCGGATGCACGAACGCACCGAGGCCGGCGTGCGACCGGCATGGCAGAAGCTTGAGCCACGGACTTAGATTCTCCGTGCAGAGCTCTTCACGCGGCAAGTTGCTCTCGAAGAACCGAGCACCATGCGTGTGCACAGCGACTCCGTCCATCTTGGTGAGCGACGCCGAGAAGATCCCGGCGAGGGCCTGCGCGAGGCCGTGAAAGTCGTCGCGCGATGCCACGTCAGCAGACAAGAGCGCGCCGAACGGAGCAGCGTCCCACGCATCGCCCCACTGCTCGTGGCGCCACATGCCATTGGCGAACGTGAGCTCGAACTCGCTTACGTTGAACTTGTGCAGCACCTGGCGAATGTGCTTTGGGAACACGTCAAAGTGCTGCGCGCTCGGCGCCGTGTCGCCGTCGACTTCGTGCAGGAAGCTGAAGTGGGCGGCCACCTTACCGAGGCCATGCAGAGGCCGCAGCGTCAAGTCTTCCGAGTACGTTCGCTCGGCCTGCGCGCAGAGCGCAGCCAGCGCCAGCGCTGCAGTCCAGAGGGCCACGACGAGCCCCATCTTTGAGGATGGCGTCCGGATACAATGTGCACATTATCCGGGTGCTGGTTGGCATCCGCATACCGGTGTATGTAGCCGACAGTCGTCTATAAAAACAAGGAAGCGGACGAATTTACAGGCCAACTGAACACAGGTCCGAAAAGCCATTACGGCGTTAAGTCGCGACGATGGCCGAGGCTGCGCCGCCGACCAAGGCGAAGCGCCTCACAGATAAGGAGCGACTCGAGATCCTGGACCTGCTTGAGAACGAGCCCAACATGACAAAGGTCGAGCTCGGCCGGCGCTACGGCATCTCGGGCTCGGCCATCACGAAGCTGTCGCACAACGCGGATGCCATCCGTAGCCGGCACGCCGATGGCAGCGTCGCGCACCGTGATCGGCGGCAGCGCGGCACCAAGGCGATCGCGCAGCCGTTCGAAGAGAAGCTCTACCGCTGGCTGCACGCGCTCGAGGCCCACCGCATCGTCGTGCCGCCGGCGCAGGTCATGGAGAAGGCGCTGCTCCTGAGCACCCACGCGCAGATTCCCAACTTTGTCGCGTCCAACGGCTGGTACTACCGCTTCTTAAACCGGTATGGCTTCAAGACGACATCCAGTGCCAAGCTCGAGTCGTCGGCCGTGACGCCGGACGCAACCTTGGACCAGCTCCGGTCGCTCCGCGTCAAGCTCGCATCGTTCGGGCCCGAGTGCGTCTACAGCATGGAGGCGACTGACCTCTTCTACCGCTGGCTGCCCCACTACGAGGTTCTTTGTCCGCACTACGAAGCAATGATTGAAGATCTCTTGCCAAAAGACCGGACGACGCTCCTCGTGTGTGCGAACGCGACCGGGTCGCACAAGCTGCCGCCGCTCGTCGTCGACGTCAGCGGCCACTCGCTGCCAGCGCGGTACCGCGAGAGCAAGACGTTCCCGCTGCCGTACGCTACGTCCGGCAAGGCGTGGTGCGTCGATGGCAACGTTTTCAAGCACTGGTTTGAGACCGTCTTTGTGCCGTCCGTGCGCGCCCACACATCGCGTCCTGTCGTGTTGCTCCTCGACAACTCGCGTGGCCAGTTCGCCGAACTTACGCGGGAGAACGTGACGACAATGCTGTTGCCGCCGCAGACACCGGCCTTGTACGTGTCCATGGGCGCCGACCTCCTTCTCAGCCTCAAGCTGCGCTACAAGTTTCGTTTGATTCTGGATTTGCTCAGCTTTTCTGAGAAACCCGAGGCCGATCTGCGCGAGTGCATTGAGCGTGGTCGAACCAAGCCCAGCGCGGGCCTCGACTGCGGCCGGCCGCCCCACATTGTCGAAGCCATGGAGCTGCTAAAAGATGCCTGGGACGACATCGCCCCGACGCGCCTCCAGGACCAGTGGCGCCGAACGACGCTGCTCTTTAGCGATCAAGCGCTACCATCGCCCGACGGCGACTGCGACGCCGACCTCATTGACGAGCTCGTCCAAGTATTTCCGCCGACGCCGGGCATGCTGGATGTCCGAAGCGAGTTGCTAACCTGGCTCCACGCTGACACACCTGACAGTGACATCCTCAAGCAAGCGATCGTGGACGACTTGGAGAGGCGACTCTTCCGCGTCGAGTCGCATGACGCACCGCTGGCGATGGCCGCCGACGAAGCGGCGTCGGCGGGGCCGTGGCCAGGTGCGAATGCGATTCTCAAGACACTCTCGGCGCTCGAAGCGCTGTACGAACACCCGTCGTGCCACGAGTACCTCGGGGACGCGGTCGTGAGCGAGCATCTGCAGCAAGTCGATATGCAGCGCCGCGTCGTCACGCGCACCAAGAGCATGAAGGACCGCAAGCGTCGGCGAGAAGAAGGGACCGTCACGAGGCTCTAATACAAAACAACGTCAACTCTTCATTTAGCATGCATGGCAACAGGGATGCCACGTCATCGCGTTTTATCTGGACCAACTTGATATAGTATCGGTCACAAGGCCTAATATAGACAGCCGGGCACGATGGCCAAGGGAGGAGGCAAGCCAGCATCGAAACCAGCTCCCAAGCCGGCCCCCAAGCCAGCTCCAGCCCCAGCACCCAAGCCAGCTCCCGCACCGAAACCAGCTCCTGCACCCAAACCAGCGCCAGCACCACCGAAACCAGCTCCAGCACCACCGAAACCAGCTCCAGCACCAGCACCCAAGCCAGCACAAGGTCCGAGGCCGCTCGTCCGCCCCCAAATGCCCCCCGCAACACCCAGTCCGCACTATGTGTACGTGGCGCCGACGCCGCTCTGGATCGTGCGACCCGTGCCCATTGTGGTCGTCTTTACTGCGACAACGTACTGGTCGCGGCCGTCGTGCAGCAGTCGGCTCTGTCAGCGTGACTATGCGGCGTGCCGTCGGCTGTACAACTACGATGATTGCGTCTGCGTGCCCGGTCTCCTCCACTGCATGGAGCGGCAATGCCGCACCGACTACATCTGGGGGGTTACCGAGTGCCAGCGCAGTGTGAACCCTCGGGCTCTGTGCCATCTCTCGTGCGCGCCGATGGTGCATGGGGACTATAGCGTGACCAACTACAGCGTACTGGTTGGTCTCAGCGTCCAAGGGATTTCCGCCAGCAATTGGGCAGCGTACGAGGTCAACGTGCCAGAGCTCCTCGAGGAGGCCCAAGCGACCAACGGCAGTGTGCCGTGGCCCGTCACCATCCACACGGCGCCGCACGATGCCGGGAGCGACTCGCGCACAGAGTTGGTCGCAGAGATTCATACGACGGGTCCCTCGAGCATGCTTAGCGTCCAAGCGTTCTTCCTCAACGCGTCGGCGACCGAGTGGCTCGCGACGACCTTGTTCGAGTACGGCGTCCTCTTCAACACGAGCCAGTTGGCCATCACCAGTGTCCAGACTTTCGTAATTCCTCTCTTCAACGACACGGTCGCCACGACAACGATGGATTTTGACCCGACGATACAACCACCAACGACGTCGTCAGCGACCAACTCGGGCCTTGGGTTCGTCCTTGGGTCCTTGCTTGGTCTAGGGATGTTCGGGCTCGCGTATCTGTGCCAGCGCCGCCAGCGACGTCCATCGATAGCCTACGCCAACATTGAGATTCGTTAAGTGCCAACGCGAGCGCCCTTTCTCTACCTGTACCCAATTTATGCAAGCAACGTCGACACCAGCCGACAGTGCCGATATTGTCTTGCCTTGCACGATTGCCATAACAGACAATATTTTCCACCAACGAAAACTACAGTGATGATCATGTGCGGAATCGATTACGCATCGTGCGGGCCGAAAAACTCGTAGTGGACTTGGGCCGCGGGGATGTGCCACTGCGATAGTACAATGTCGCGCACGTTGCGCATAAAGCCCGGCGGACCGCAAAAGTAGTAGTGCGCGTCCTTGTTTGGAATGATCTCGTCGAGGAGCGCGGCGCTGAGGCGGCCGTGGCGCTCGCCGTCGACCGGCGTGCCGTAGACGCTCACAAAGGACACATTGTCCGAGGTCCGCGCGCGAAGTTCGTCGCGAAGCGCCTCGACGGCCGGCGACCGCGCCGCGTGCACAAACAGAATCGGGTTGGACACCTTCTTGTCGAGGAGGTCGTGGACCATGGCCGCCAATGGCGTGATGCCGACGCCACCGCTGAGGAGCACGATGGGCTTGGTGCTGTCGTTGACGTCCAAGAAAAAGTCGCCGCAGGGCACCGACACTTGCAGCGTGTCGCCTTCGTGGACGTCGTCGTGGAGGTACGACGAGATTTTGCCCATCGGACACCCGGACGCCGCAGGGCCCTCGCGCTTGACCGTGATGCGGTACTCGTCCTTGCCTACAAGGAGAAGCAAGCGTGTGAGATCTTCTCCAATTTATATCGTCGTACGGGGTGCCATCGAGAGCGAGTAGTTGCGCTGCGTCGTAAAGTGCTCGGTTTCAAAGCGCACGCCCACGTACTGGCCGGGGCGAAAGGCCACGAGCGGCTTGTCGTCGGCCGGACGCAAATGGAACGACTTGATCTCGCTCGACTCGGCGACGACCTTGGCGACGACAAAGTCGCGCCAGCCGTACCAGCCGCCGGTCTGCGTCCCAATCTCGTCGCGGATCGCCTTCTCGCGCGCAATGCACACGTCGGCGAGGAACCCATATGCTTCGGCCCACGCCGCCACGATCTCGGGCGTCGCGGCGTCGCCAAGGACCGTCTGAATCGCCGCCAAGAGGTGCGTGCCCACAACATCGTAGTGCTCGGGCAGGATCTCGAGCGACACGTGCTTGTGTGCAATGCGCTCGACAGCGGCCGTGAGCGCGCCGAGGTCTAATATCGATCATCAATAGGATTCGATGCCAAGAGAAAGGACGGCGTACTGTCAATGTTGTTGGCGTACGCGGCGACGGCGTCGGCGAGCGCGATGGGCTGGCGCGCGCGCGACTCGCCCGGCAGCACCACTTGGTGCGTCGGGTTGAAGAGCGCCGAGATCTTCGGGTCGCTCGGCAGCATCGTCGAGTACATCTGCGACGTGATCGCATAGCCGTGCTCGCCGACGACGGGCGCCGTGGCCTTGACGAGGCGGATCGTGTCGGCCGAAAGCGTCATGGTGCTTGTAGTTGAAGGGACTTGGTGAATGGCAGAATGGCAGAATGTGCGGAGAGAGCTTGGCCTCGCAATCGTTTCGCCCATCGCCGTCGGTTTGGGCTGCGACATGTGCGGGCATACATCTGACCACCGGCTTGGACATGACGTGGCACGCCCACGGAGCGGCAGGCCTCGTATACACGCCGCGTGTTTGTGTAGCCACGTCGACCTGGAAATGCAAGAT